TTTTAATGGAACACAATAGGCTGTAGGAGCCTCAGGGAAATTATACTCAGAAATGGTTATATTAGACTCAGAGTTAGCTAGAAATTATTACAAAGTATTTAGGACAGATGTTTAGTACAAAAAGCAAAAGATTTAAAGCAAAATGATTTATATTATTTGAAAAAGTTGTTTTACGTACATTTCATCATAATTTAAGTAGAACTTAGTAAAGCAAGGGAAACGTGTTGAATTAGGCACAATGAACTCAATCTTAAAAGAATAACTAACAGAAGAGAGGTTGTCACTATTGTGCAGGTGACGAAAGATCTGTAATATAGAGCATGGAGGTCAAAAAATGCTATCTTAAGTAAAAAGAGTTTGATGAACAAAAGTTACAATGGCTGCGGGATGCGAACCCGGATCTCTGCGGCGAATTATCACGTATCTAACTGATTGAACTATACAATCTTATACTCAAATTTATATCTTATTAAAATTAAAAAACAATATTTTCTAAGATCTATATTTCGAAAAGCATATTCAAACAGGACTCTACATACCTTTAAAATCTGCTAGAACTTTAGTAACGTGCACACTTTTAGAAATTATTGAAATAGGTATATTTTATCAGAAATATGCTTAAGCTAAAGCTTGTTTTTCAGCCTCTTTTTACTATTTGCTTAAGGTACTTCTATACAATTAGACAACTTTTTTCTTAAAAATTGATATATTAAGTGATTCATTACATTAATTACAAATATAGGTCAAAAAATGACAGAATTTAAATTTTTTTTTTTTTTTTTTTTTTTTTTTATGCATATAAAAAGTGGGTTTTGGTCCCAAAAAGGGGCTAAAACTGTTTACACAATTACTTAACATAGGGTGACTGTTAAATTTTGAAACTTGCACAGTTGTTTTATAATAATGTAAACTACAATCTGTGCCACTTTCACATTCCAACTATAAAAACTTGCAAAAATATAGCCATTTTCATAAGAATAGGTGATTTTCACAATTTTACTCGCCTATTCAAAATTTCATAAGTACAAATCTGAGTAAGCGAGTCTCTTCAATGAGGGTCATTTTGTAGCTATATAAGTAAGCAACATTTGTGGAAAATTTCAAGAAGTTTCATAAAGTATTAGTGAAAATATCATGTAAACGGTATAACCAAAACTACAAAAAGAATGTACTGAGAAAAAACAGTTTTAAAAATCAGTTAATATTTATTGACATAAAACAAAACAGAGTTCACTCAATAGGATCCTGAATTATAAGATTGGCACCCTTCAATATCTTTGTTTTTGTCTATATACCCTTTTCTTAGGCTTCTTCTTACTTTTCTTTGTTTTTTTGAAATATTAGATGATTGTTTAAGATGAATTATAACTCTATGATTATCACTTTTTAAAGCATTTTGTTCAAAAAAACTTCCACGTGGAATATCTAAACAATCAAAAACATTTCCAATACCATTAATGCCATCATTGAAACTTATGATAGCAGAACACACACCAATTGTAAGAACTTTCCTGCTGCAATAAGTAGATTTTGGACAGCGTGCCCAAATAATTCCATTCAAACACTCATTTACATTTTGCGTTTGGCCATGAAAACATTTTAATTTATTAATTATGAATGCATCTCCATATGGCTTTGATTCAACTACCCTTTTAAATGAACTAGAATCACCATCACCAATATAATTGTTATACCTTAAGTTATATTTTGACTCAGAACGGTTGAACATATGAACTGCACCTTCAGATTCCATTGAACCTGCAGATTTGGTATGATTTATATCACAATCGTGATCAGAAAACCAAGTGTTATAAGCTTCTGTTCCACGATGTTTCTCCCATATTTCACATGCTTTGCATTTTTTAGTCATAATATAAAAATCAATACAGTTATCAATTTCCAGCCTGCGTGCAATGGTAGTAACAACACCGTTAAGTGAATCATGGCCACGTTTTTGCCAAGTACCATCAACAGATACAGTGCAATTAGTGGGCTAATTATTTCTGTCTACAAATAAACTTGCTGCATTTAGCATACTGTCAGCAGCTACTTTCGAATAAGCATCCATTAGTTTTTTATTTATTTTATTATAAGCATTATCATTAATTGGTTTAGTCAAGTTCATAACCATTGAAAATTTTTTCATGGCTTCATGACCCAGACCAGTTTCTCGAAATGCCATTGTAGACCTCAAGTTGACATCATATCCTTTTTGTATAGATTCTCCTAAAGCTTCAACTTCTTTGGAAGTGAAAATAAATTTACACCATTTACAGGTCTGACAACTGAAGGAAAGTTTATTTGCCCATCCCTTTTTTTCAGAAATTATATTCTTTATATTCACATTATCGCAACATTCTGGACAAGTTCCATCAACTATATCAATAATACTTTCTAAAACATTAAAATCTAACAAAATATAATGCCTTTCAGGTATTTTATACGTTATATTTACATTAGAGTTAATTACTTTTGGTAATGGCTTGTCAAGGGGCAATTGTACTTTTTTTTTATCCAAACCAGCTTTGGTATATTGAGTTTGACAAAAAACTCTTTTTTTTGATCTGTAACTAAGCTTTTTCTTTGCCATTAAAGACAAATTTGCACAAGATTAAAATAAAACTCTTTTTGAATACTTCTTTATACTATCTTTTGGCTTATTAATGATATATAATGATAAAAATGACAACGAATAAATCACGTAAATGCAGCTGCAAAATTACACTTTTTTCTTTGATTTACCATTTTGGTTTACCAAGTCAAAATTCAAACTAAAATTTTTTTAATTATGCTAAGTGCATCAGGAATACTTGCAAACAAATTATGAAATAATTGAACTGAAAATAACTTGCAATTGGAGGTGTTATAAGTCCATAACATGGTTGCTAAGGGCGTTGCTAAGAGTATAAATCCATACCTATGTTAAGATATTTTAAAATAACTTCAAAAAAAAGTTTTTTTTTTTAAATTTTGATGACAAATTCAGATTCAGTGATAAATTTTGATCTTAAAACAGTTATAATAAAAAAAATGAAAATTTTAAGATTTTCACCTTTTTGATTGTATAGAAGTACCTTAAGCATATTCGAACCTGTTTCGAAAATTTCATATGCTTTAAAAAAAAATCATGTATATTCCTACCCATCATTCTTATTTTTAATATACGTAATGAGTTCAAAAAACATCGTTGTATATATTTATTATGGCACGTTTTATAAGTTTATTTCAGTTAAGAATTCTTTCGTATGTTGTGATCCGAAATACTTTCGTTTCGAAAGAAATTTTATTTTTTATCAATATTTCTGAAAATAAAACCATAAAAATTTAATAGTTATTATACTGAAAATAAAAATTCATTATAAACATTTTGGGATTTAAAGATGTTAATTTTTACAATTAAAATCAGTCTGGCAAACAAATTTTCTTTATAGACTTCAAAACGTCGTTTGGCGAAAATGTTTGTTTCGCAAGTGCGACTTCCGAAACCGCTACTTTCGTATGTTGCAAAATAGTTTTGTTTCGTATGTAAACTTGCGAAATGCTAAATTTCGGAAGTGGCTTTTGCGAAATGAACATCGGCGATTTTAAATGTTTTGTAACATTCGGTACGAAAAAATGTTATTCCGTGTTCTCAATCTCCTTACGAAAGAATGTTGTTTTTCCGGAATTGCACGAAATCCTCCGGTTAACAACCCTAATTTTATCTACTTTGTTTAATTTGACATACAAACGTTAGTTTTTTGAGGCAATAGAGTCAATAAACTTTGGACAAGACGCATTTTTTTTAATCGAAGAAAAGCGTTTTTTTGAAAATCAAATTTGTTAGTGTGTGTTCATTATTACGTTTATTAGAAAAAATAATATACATCAAACATTTTTTTTTTAATGCTCTTTCATATGAGATCATATTTTTATAGTACTTATGGATCCCTTTAAGCTTTAAATTTTTAATTTCTAAAATGCAAATCTGTTTTCATTTAATGGAATCAATTTTCACAAACTAGTCATTTAACAGTTTATCCCCATTTAACAGTTTATCCCCAACGACATTTTCGTAATTTTGCGAAAATTCGATTTGCTTTACTGGCATAAAATAACGTCTGTTTTAGTTAACCTTAAACATTTAAGTAAGATTTTTTTATTTTTATAATAGTCCAACAATGTGTACATTTAATAATAAATATCGAAAATATATTCTTTCTGAGTTTTTTTTATAAAAAGGAACATCAAATTACTAATATTTAGCCAAGTTCAACATTTGCCGCGTTTATTCTAAAATTAAAGAAGTTTTTTAATATATCTGTGGAACGTCATCAAATAAAACATTTTATTGGTGTTTTTGTTCTTTTTACAGAACAAAACTATCTCTAATGTTTCAAAAGTTGTAAAAGTTTTAGTAACACCCCTTACGTAAATATTTTCAAAAAATAACAAGAAGCGGTAAAGCTAGCTTGAAACAGCCGTGAGCATGGTCCATGCCACCTAAAGTAGAATAAAACGAAACTGAGCACAAGCTAAGGTTAGAAAAAAAAACAAGACACAAATCAAGAATTTGGGTTGTTTGGAAAGTTAACTATCTGAGTAAGAGATTGAGATAGACAAAGGTTATTATTTGTTTGACTTTAGGAAGTATTGCACAACCACTATCAAAGAGACGCAAACAAAAACTTGAGTTGATTATAGAAGGCATTTAAAAGCATTCAAAATCCTAGGCAGAAAGCAAGGTTTTTTTCTACGCCTTCTAAGAGATAAAGGGAAGCAAGGTTAGTAAAATTTTTTCTGCTTACCCCAAAAGTCTTTGCCTAGGAGGCCTTCTACAACACAGTATCCAGATAAGTTACCATCTTTAAAAATGAGTATTTATATCGAGACACTGTCTCTTGCTTTGATACAGCCAAAAATAATGGCTTGCAGTTATGTTAGGAGTAAATTTGTATTTTAAAAATTTTAAGCCTATTATGATATTATTTAGGATATTAAGAAGATCAAACTTTTGATACCTTTAGTAATTGCAGATTGTTGCGGAACTTCACTAGCTATTTCTTTAAGTGATTGTACATACTTAATTTCATCAATAATTGGTATAAGCAGATTTAAGCCCTAAATAATTTTCAAATATTCAATTAAAAACGATTTTTAAAGACAAACTGTTAATGTAAAAAGAATGGAATTCACACCGGTAGTAGCGTTTCTTTATATTTACCAAACCTTTCAACAATCCATGCTTCTTGTTGTGGTACAAACTTTATTCCCTATATAAATATGAAAACCATTGAAACTTTTAATTGATTTAAGTAAAAATTAAATGTATCCATAATAAAATACTTTTATAGTTCAAAAAAAATTCAAATTTTAATATAAAACATTTACAAAAAGAAATCTGATAAATAAAATCTGAAAAGTGATAAAGTCTGGCATATTAGTTTTCTCTGTAAGCTCTTCATAAGACACATCTCGGAAAATTTTCAAAAATATAGGACTTTTTCATTTTTAATAACAGTATTTTTTTTTTAATGTTAAAATTTACAGAAAAAAATTTCTGATACCATTTAAGCCTCTCAGTATATTTTCTCAGTAAGGCACATATATATTATATATCAGTATATTTTCTCAGTAAGGCACATATATATTATATATCAGTATATTTTCTCAGTAAGGCACATATATATTATATATCAGTATATTTTCTCAGTAAGGCACATACATATACATAGTTTTTAAGATTAAACTATGCCATGCTGTCTAAATTTTTCACAAAGGAAATTTGTTTAATTTTACCTTTCTACTTTATTTAATATTGCCAAATAACAAATATGTTTAATATTTGTTTAGCGCTTTGTAATTTTGGATACCTGTTGCTTTTTAACATTCGATTCAGTGCGCTTAGTTCTACCCTCCCCCTCCCTTTTGGTCTACTGTTATTGGGGGAACAATTATGACTCATAAATCTTTGCTTAAAATTTGTGCTTTTATACTGGACATCTGTCCAACACCTTTAAATAGTTTTAACTAACTCTTACTCTAAATATTTTTTTATCCTTCTTCCCTGAGGCTCCTACAGGCTCCTTCTTCCCTGAGGCTCCTACAGCTCCTTCTTCCCTGAGGCTCCTACAGGCTCCTTCTTCCCTGAGGCTCCTACAGCTCTGTGTGTTTCACTAAAGTAACTGGTTTACTTTAGTGAAACACATACAACTTGAGTCCGGTTGCAAAACATAAATTTTAATGTAACAAGTATATGTGATGCAAAAAAATTATTTTCAAATACTAAATTTAATAACAACCACCCTAAAAAAATTTTTCGTGAACAAACAAGACAAAAAACTGCACACATCTCCAAGGAAGGCTTGTTATTTATTTCTTTTATGTAAACTACCTTGAGTTCATATTGAATCTACGCATAATAATGTATTATTGAAGTCAGGTTTTAATTACAGACATTCCTACCATCCAAACTTAAATTAATTTCACAACAAGAATTCTAGATGCAACATTTGATTCAACCACTCTTTCAGCAAATATTTTAGCCCGAATAAAAGAAAATGTAAAAACATAGAAAATTAAATCAAATAATGGAAGTATAGGAGTAGGAATAAAATAACTCTTAATTATAAAATCAATAATGAACTATCAAAGAAAGTTTGGAAATCAAATAATACTCATTTAAACACTGTCATTTAATGTAAAAAATTAATATATATATATATATATATATATATATATATATATATATATATATATATATATATATATATATTTACATACAGTATATATACTATTTATATACAGTAAATAAACTTACAGTATTAACTGGAAGAGGTCTTTTTGCCATACCATCTCCTCGGGAATAAAAAGCAAGTTTACGAAGTTCATTGGGTTTCTAAAAAAAAATATTAAAATTAAATACTTAAAAAACTTGATTGTTTTGCTATTGCATCCACTATTTTTAGCAAATAGTAATAAAGATACCTTAACTAATTAACAATATGTACTTAATTTATTAAATGGCCTGCAACATTTTAAAAATAATTTTTTGTGCGCATTTGACCAGTAAAAAAGTAACAACTTGACTGAAAATACACTAAAAATATACCAAAAATAATGCAAAATTTCCCTGTTAAACACAAATCACCTTTTGAACTAATGCTAATAATCAATGTTAAATTTAACTATAATAGCATAGTATTTTAATTCTGCTGTATGTTATAGTAGCATAGTGGTTTTATTTTGCAGACGCAACAACAGTCCTTGCTTTAGTAATTTTAAAGCTCATGATAAAGTCTGGCATATTAGTTGTTATCATATGATCTCTGAAAATTTTCAAAAATATAGGATTTTTTCATTTTTAATAACAGTATTTTTTTAATGTTAATTCACCTCCCCAAGGCCAAGAAGGACACTACAGTCAAGGAGGCTAATTTAATTGTGGTTACAACCCTCTCTTAACTCTATAACTTCAAAACACAAACCTTGGCGAACAAGGCCGCTACATGGAGAAACCAGCTGAGCACTGTACTACCAGGACACAGAAGTTGTGGTAAGGATCGAACTTGGAACTTCTTGCTTTTGAATAACTAATTTAAAGTAGTAAAGGTATCCTTAAATAGCAATACTCTTATTTCTTTCTAGTAACAACTAGCATACCACAAGGGAGAATCCTTTGTTACATATTTCTTACTCCCATGTTTTTTATTAGCATTAATGAACATTAGTATTAAAAAAAAACATGGGACCAAGAAACCTTACTGTTAAAGTGGTTTTATTTCCTTACAATACAACCATATATTATTAGGAGTTTAAAAAAGAAAAGTAATATTAACAAAGTAAAATTATAGTTTCTTTTTTCACTTGAGGTTTTTTTTTTTTTAACTCTTTGCGTTTAAATTTAATTCAAAAGAAAAAACAGTGGGTCTAATTAATTAGATACTTGTATTTTACAAGCATTTAGAAAACTTAGTCAAATGCCAAGGTCAAATCGTTAAAAAAATTTGACGATTTGACCACGGCTTTTGACATATTTTTAAAACTTAAAATGCGTTACAATAACTTACTTAAACTTATCTAAAAAAAAAATTGAAAAAAGAAAAAAAATCGTAACGAAAAATAAAATAAAAAAAATACTCAACTAAAGCAAAAACACACAAAAAAAAAATCATCAAACTAAAATGATATTTAATTTACGCTTTAAAAACCATTTCATTTTTTGTTTTAACATTTGTACTTTGTTTTTTGTTTTTTAATATAGTTAAAGATAAACATCTATCATTAGCGCCTTTTTGAAAATATTTTTTTAAATAGCCATGGTCATATCATCAAAGCAAAATGTAATTTGCCTGGTCATATAAAGACGTTCGATCGCACATCTTCCTGTGAAAGACTGATATCTGTATCCTAGGTTTAATTAGAAAGTTAGTTTAAACTGAATGAACAATTTAATTATTACCAGGTGAATTACTTTTTATATACTTGATTGTATACTTAATAAATATATAATAGACTTTTATATATATATATATATATATATATATATATATATATATATATATATATATATATATATATATATATATATATATATATATATATATATATATATATATATATATATATATATATATGTGTATATATATATATATATTTATATATATATATATATATATATATATATATATATATATATATACTGATATATATATACTGATATATATATATATATACTGATATATATATATATATATATATATATATATATATATATATATATATATATATATATATATATATATATATATATATATATATATATACTGATATATATATATACTGATATATATATATATATATATATATATACTGATATATATATATATATACTGATATATATATATATATATATATATATATATATATATATATATATATATATATATATATATATATATATATATATATATATATATATATATATATATATATATTTGTTATAAACGAGTTTTGCTAATAACATCTTAAAACTGAAAATACTATTTTTCTTCTTGAATTTAGTAAGAAATAGTAAAAATGCATTAGGTTTCATGGTACATAAAAATAAAATATTTTAATGGAAGTAAAAAAAAAAGGCAAAAAGCTGTAATCTTCATCTAATTACAATTTTTATTGTATCCAAGTTACTAAGTTTTATTGTAAGCCAGTTACTAAAATGCTTTAGGTAGTGCAAACATTCTTTTATAAAGGGGAAAACCCAATCTAATTGTGTAGTAGTAAGTGCATTTAAATCTCTTTAAGAAAATCAACCATAAACAAGTGTTCCATCTTTTTTTTTTTAAATAACCATAAAAAGAATGTTTTTAAGAAAAAAAATTAATTTTAAATAAGTATAAAATTTTAAAATTTTTTTTAAATCAACATTTAAACTTAATTTATAACTTTTTTTTATAACAATATTGTTTAATTTAAAGATATTTAATTTAAAAGACTTACAATAATTTCTAGTGTGTTTTTGAATTTATTTACAATGAGGTATTTTAAAATACACAACTGACGCAATTAAACTTTTAACGATGTAAATGTAATTCTTTATTTAATAAAGTTACATTTATTCACATTGCACTTTTCCGTTACGCAACAAAATCTCATTAAAAAAAAAAAATATATATATATATATATATATATATATATATATATATATATATATATACATGTGTATATATCTTATACTGCTGAGTTAGGTGAGCATGATGATGTCATACTCACCTAAGGTCAAACAGCCTGCTGCCGGGGGCTTCAGTACATACATCGGCTGACAAATAGCCTGACTCGCAGTGGAATGCTGCTACATTGACTGAGGGTTTGGTATGGGTCAGCAACCTTTTCATTTATTATTCTTCATTTTCCCTCATCGTTTTCTAAAAACGCTCACTTAATTTAGGCTAGTAAAAAAAGTGAGCGATTGCGCATATAAATATGCTATAGTAGATATATATATATATATATATATATATATATATATATATATATATATATATATATATATATATATATATATATATATATATATATATATATATATAAATATATATATATATATATATAATATATATATATATATATATATATATATATATATATATATATATATATATATATATATATTATATATATATATATATATTTATATATATATATATATATATATATATATATATATATATATATATATATATATATATATATATATATATATATATATATATATATATATATATTATATATATATATATATATATATATATATATATATATATATATATATATATATATATATATATATATATATATATTATATATATATAACAAACAAATGTTTTAGAATTAAATAAGTAATCTTAAATGTTTTTATATTATCGAAACGCTTTTTGATGAAGTGACAAAACACTTCTAATGAATTTTTATAGTTATTAAAAATTGTTTTTTTTTTACTTGTATAATTATATATTTTTTATGATAGATGTTTATCTTTATCTATATTAAAAAACAAAAAACAAAGTGCAAATGTTAAAACAAAGAATGAAATGGTTTTATAAAGCGTAAATTAAATAGCATTTTAGTTTGATGATTTTTTTTTTGTGTGTTTTTGCTTTAGTTAAGTTTTTTTTTTGTTTTTTTTTTTTCTTTAAGATTTTTTTTTCTTTTTTCAAGTTTTTTTTTTAGACAAGTTTAAGTAAGTTATTGTAACGCATTTTAAATTTTAAAAATATGTCAAAAGCCGTGGTCAAATCATTAAATTTTTTTAAACGATTTGACCATGGCATTTGATAAAGTTTTCTAAATGCTTCTAAAATACAAGTTTCTAATTAAATAGACCCACTGTTTGTTTGTTTTACATATATATATATAAATATATATATATATATATATATATATATATATATATATATATATATATATATATATATATATATATATATATATATATATATATATATATATATATATATATATATATATATACAATTTTAAAATGTATTCTACAAAATAGATCGTCAATGTTCTTAAAAGAATAGAGCAATTATACATTAGCAGAAAACCACTTAGCAAAATTTTTTTCATTTAACACTGTGTGTGAAAAATATAAAATGCCAGTTTTAAAAAAATAGAAGGAAGTTCAAAAAGATGGTTAACAAATGTTGCGTTGAAAATTGTTGTTCAAATTATCATAATTATGGTGAAGTATCAACAGTAGTATTTTCGTTTCCAAAAAATGAAGAGTTAAAAAAAATTGGATTAGATTTGTAAATAGAAAAGATTGGACACCTACTGATTCTTCCACTTGATGTTCAAAATGTTTGATGCAACATCAAGCATTATGAAAAAAAATATTATAAGAAAAGTAACACAAATCGACATTTTAGATTAATAAAAAAAATAAAGCCTATTCCAACTATTTTTGATTGCACAAATTTGACTGAAGAAGGTTCATGACAACTTATAAAATCTTCTAATTCATTAAGAAAATTGCCAACTAAAAAAATATTTCAGCCAGATCAATATAAACAGTTTTTATTGAATGATTTGATTAATAGCTTTGACGATATTACTTAAAGTTTTGCTCCAGATGGTTTTTCATTCTTGAAGTATGATGAGCATGTAATTTTTTATAAATTGAGTCATAGTACTTTATCTATTCCAGAATAGATAAAGTACTATGACTGAGTGCATTTGTTAAATTTGTTAAATGCATGTTAAATTATTTTACAAAGGTTCACCTCTGCCATTGCCTCAGTGGTTTCGTCAAGATTGTTGTTTATCTTGTAAAAGCTTTAGAATTTTCCTACCTACATTAAATCACAAGCCGAACAATTTTCAATTATGGAAATATTG